CCAACTAGTGCAAGATTGTGTCCATCAGTTAGGTCTGGCTCTTAGAACTTCACCCCAGGGCTTACCCGCCGTATCCGGTGATTCCCGTAGGAAGCTTAAGCCAGGTTTTAACCACGTGGGAATGAGTTTCAAGAATTTGCGGTGCATCATCGAATTCTTCCGCTTTCGCCAGGTTCTACCCGATGAGCCCAAGGGGAAAAGCTTGGGCTCGCTACAAACTTCTTGGGATAAAAAAAGGAAAATGTCTGGAACTCCGCGCAACTGGACTCCAGCCTTCGCCCGCCATCTGACTCGACGCGAAGGCGTTCTCCGGGACGGAGCCCTGAGTGAAGTGATACTCGCGCCAATCACTTATCACCTATCACCTTACCCGTTTGCAGTTTGCCCTGTTTCTACCCTTTACTTTGGTGTTTTAGATTGGGGGCTTCGGGATGTGCACCCCTGCTTCTTGTGGAGGGTCGATGGCAAGCCACCTCTAACCACAAAACCACCAGTTGAGCATTGCTTTTTTTAGAGGTTCAGGGCTTATACACTGCTGGGGAGGCTACGCGGGGGGCTTCGCGGGGCCAGAATTTGTGGATTCGCGGCAAGACTGTGGCTTCGCGGAGTGGCTTCGCCGGGCTTCGCGAATGTTTGTTCCACAAACATCTCTGACGTGTGCGCCCCCATGTTGTTGAATCAAGTTAAGTCCATGCGAAAGGGGGCGATGAAAGGCGGCAAGAGAGGCATTGAGCTTCAGGACTAGGGGACATGGCTGGGCATCAAGGGGCGGAGCATGGAAGTTGGACCGCGGTGGCTTCGCCGAGGCTTCGCGGGGGCTTCGCGGGGGCTTCGCAGAGGCTTTCGCGAAAACGTTCCATCGTTTCTAGCAAAACCGGGCCTGAAACGCACAGTGCTCTTCCGGTCGTCTTCCCGTAATCTGCCTGTAATCTTGTCGTAGCCTGCTGACTCTAAACATCAGCGTTTGGAATACTACTGCCATGAAAGCGCACAACACACTTGCCATGAAAGCACGCAATACACTCAAACCACGAAGTGGCTTCGCCTGTCTCAATGTTACCGGGCTACGCGAAGTGGCTTCGCGGGGCTTCGCGGGGCTTCGCGGCGCACAATGTATCACACAAGTGCCTTCGCGGAGCTTTTGGGAGTTCCCCACGAAGCTAAAATCCATCATCTGAGAAAAAACGCTGCTCAGTTGAGGAATACATGAACGTCAGCGCTGCTTCACTTGCTTAGCGGATGATGTTGTTTCTTGCTCGCAGGTGACAAATAGCATGCTGACACTTGTTCCCCATGGCTGGCTGACAAACAACGCAGTCGACAATCCGAGCCTTTGGTGAACCTACAGAATGTAACCGCAAGCGTCGGATACCAGCACGAGGTAGGCCAAAACAACTGTTTGCTAAGCACGAATGCCTGGCTTGACAAAATACAACTTTTGACATAAGTACTAGAGCTTGCTTCAAAAAAACATAAAACAAGCGATTGGTGCTTCGAAGCGGTGACTCTCCGGCAACGCATAATGCAGTTGAAACTGCTGCACTCGTTCCGAAGCGCAACGAAGCACGTGTCTGCACACGAACTTGGACATGACCTGAGAATACAAGCACAACCTCAAGCTGAATTCGTCACAGTTGCTGATGCGTGAGCATGCTCCGTGACAAAACAAGAAGCCATATCGCGCCAGCATGGTGCGAGGCTGCATCCTCGCGGTCCAAAGGCTCAACAAGGGGCAAAACAAATAATACGGCGGTAAATGGGCATAAACCCAGTCCAAACATGAACCCAATCCAAACCGGTGGAACCCATCTAGTAACCAGACTGAGCGATCAAAGGTAAATTTGAACAGCTCAAAGCGGTCTACCCGCAACTTTTCAGATACTTGGCCAACCCGCATTTCTGGTCGTGGCCGCTAGGAAAGCCCGGTTTTGGGCACAAAATATCCCATCATTCCCGGACAAAGTTGCCAAACATCCGGGCCATCCACAAAAAAGTGGATGGACAATAGACAACACCCTATGAAGACTGCACAAACAACAAGCCAACTGCAGCATTTTGTCTACAGCAAGTAAGACACAAGGAACCCCCATGTCAAGTGTTGGGTCCACCAAACACTGCCCAGCGTGGACTCCTGGACCTACAAGCTGCAAGTTGACCTGAAAACCTTCGCGTGAAAGTCGGTAGCACTTCAACTTTCATGTTTTGGCCGCGGGTCAAAACCAATCGGATCCCATTTTGGGGTAGGTGCACCACCCATTTTAGTCTATTTTAGTGGGGATTGGTATGTTCACTGGGGGTACGGGGTTTTGACCCATAGCCATTTGTAACCCTCTCTCAATGACACAGAAAAAGAAAAGAGATGTGCCATCTACCGAATGACGCCCCCATGCAATCGCAAGAAATTTGACGACATCCGCCAACAGCTCTCCCCAACGGTACTGCAATGAAATTGAAAACCAACAACTCTAGCCATCAGCCCGCGTGGCCAAAGCCCACCTGCTGTTAAGTAGAGTCCGCTCCGCGCGAAACCGAGGCAAGCACGGGTAGCTGCACATCTGGTGGGTCCCAGGTGGTAGCAGGGGCCTGGCATGAGGGGAATGCCTGAAGGCTTGGGGCTTTGCATCAAATCATTCCTCTCCCAGTGACGTGAATCTATCTTTCTATAATATGTACATATTGTACACTTATATTGTCTGGATGTGCATCTGCATGTACAATGCAGTGCATCTATACCGGGGCCAACATTGTTCACGAGGTTGGATTAAACTTAGAAACAGCCACCACACCACAAACCACAAACGCAGACACAAACATAGACACAAGTTCATTTCTTGCAATGAATTCATGAATAAGGTAACGAATGAATGATTTCTCATGATGAAACACTCAAAGGATCCCTCATGAAGCCCCGATGGTTTTGTGGTATGGCTGGGGTCCAGGGTCAAGGAAACACAAAGTGTGTGTTTTCTGCAGCTCCCTCGCAATGGATGGACGCCAGGTGCTCAAAAAGCAAGATAGGCCGTGCTCTGAGACTCTTTGCAAGACGCAAACCAATTCAACCTACAAAAAGATATGTCAACATGTCCACGTTGGATGCCTGTGTTGTATGGGTGTGTCTTTTTTTGGGGGACCCCAGAATGGATGTTGGTTTTCCTTTAAAACGTAGAGAAAGAAAGGTTCCCTCAAAACAAGACACACTCATGACAACAGGGAACCAAACTTTGGCCTCCGACCCACCGGCAAGGCGCCGGCTTTGTGCGCCTCGTGGCGGATTTGCTCTAAGGCCGCATGGCCAGACATCTCGAGCGCCTGGGCAGAACGCGTCCCGTCGAATTCCACGAGTGGATGCATTTTCGGGCGTTTGATCTTATCCCTGAAGTAGACATCACCCCTAAGGAAGCTTCCTTTCAGAAAGGCGTGATGTTAAAGCCAAAAATAATGATAGGATCCACTGGTTTTCGTGCATTGGCAGCGTTGGTGGGCGAAGTCGGACAACTCACTAACCTCCAGGTACGTTTGGAACAAGAGCCATGCATGAGAGCAACATGAACTTGTGGCTGGATTGATTTACAAGGCTTCTATCAACCGCAAGGTTGCAACAACCTAGTCGGTGCGGAGTCGCAATAAGCAACCACAAGCTCAAAGCACGTTGGAAACGAATCCGTGCTTGTGAACAAATGCCGCAACATTCATGGAGAAAGGCAACATGGTCCCCTCACATCCTCTTTCTCACCAAACACAGCTATTTTCTGAGTAAGATACTCCCAACGCTGCTTGGCCACTGAATGAAGCCATGCTGAGTGCAGCGCTAAGCGAGCAAGCAGTGAGGAAACGACACTAAATAGGTTCTAGTTGGTCATGTGCAACTAGTCTTGCGCTGCTGAAACCTGCCATGGAAGTGACTCACGGGAATATATGCAGACTGCCGTGCTCGTCCAACCCAGCTTGCCAAGAATCCGCGTCCCATACCGTCACAACCTGAAACAAAGGGCTTGAACACAGGTATGTCAGCATTTCACCAACATCTGACAACTGTTAAGTAGATTGAGAATGACAAATCGTTGCTAGGCATGCTGCTATCAAAGGGGTTGAGAGATCAGGTGATCTCATGTGGGGTGACGGAATTTCAGGCGGCTCCCGTGGTCCTGTCACTTGCAGGGACTCACTGGGACCTTTCCAACACATTCCTTCCCATTCCATCGGCCCATCGGCCTCCTGCCAGGAACTCCGGTAGTGTTCCATCATCGCCTGGGCCGCGAGGACCAAACTGGGTTCAGGTGAGAAACTGACTGAAGCACGTGGAGAGGTTGCAAGTAGGAAATCAACGGGAAACAGCATCCTTCGATTTCTTGGGCAGCGTTAAGCTCGACTTTGGGGTAGAGACCTTGCTTCAGTCAGCAAGCATCATGAAGCGGAAAGTTGGAAGCTCTGAACTCAGCAGGCCTGAGAGTGGTGCATGCCTGGGCCCGCTTTGTGGCTATTCTGATTCCTTGCATGTCCTCTGTGCCTGAAACACACAGACTCCATCGCGAAGCTCCGACTTCGGAGGGGCGCGCGAGCTCAGCGCGTCCCTTTTGAGCGCCGGAAAGAGCTCTCGGAGGTCGTGGAGGCAACTGGGAAGCTTGAGGCCTCGTGGCTCGAAGTCCTCACGCAACTCACTGGGCACTCAGACCCCCCGCGAAAAGTTTAAAACTTTTAGTGGGTTAAATGGAAACTACCACTCAACGCTAAAAAGCTAAAGGGCTGAGGGGATGGCTGGGAGCGACCAAGATGATTGACAAAAGCAAAACCAAGGAATCAAAGAAGGTCTTGTGCCACCTACGCCTGGCACTGTCCCTGCCAACCTTCACTTACAGGGGTCTTGATTGTGGCTCGAATGATGTTCCTTCAACTTACTAGGATGTGACAATGTGTGGTCAAGAAATTGCAGCTGAGATGATGCGTGGGCGAATTCTCCACAAAGTGCAACTCAATTGACTGCGGCCCCAAAAAGGTGATGTTCAAGAGGGAAGTACAATCTCACTTCCTGAGTGGATTGGCCAACAGTCTAAAGTTCCTCCTTACCAAAACTGCCTTAACAAATATAAACTTCAGAACCGTGGAAGGGAGCCAAGCCCTGAAACCTATTGGTGTGTGTGGTCTTTTTTAGAGGGTACCTGCTCTTTGTGTTTTGAGCGGGAAAACCGAAAGGAAGGCCACCCATTTCGTGGGTAGCCAGGGACCTCCGTCCTCGTAGTCCTCCTTTCCGAAGAGCCCGTCCTCCGCCAAGCCTTTCGAAGTAAAGCCTTGGGCTTCGAAGAACATCACCTGAGAGCTGTGCTAGGCAAATGACTCTCCGAGAAACGGTTTCCATTTTTCCGGGGGGTTCCGCAAAACCGGTTAAAACCAACCAACACCCGCAGCAGCAGCAAGTTTTCCGGTGAGCTGGTCAAATGGGGTTTTGAGGAGCGAGGAATTGTTCTAACGTTCACACTGGCAATGAACACTTGCTGTGAATGCATTGGTGTTGTTTGTCGGCAATTGGAATCCAAGCTGTTACAGACCAAAAGCGGGCCGAATGCGTGTTGTTGTGCTTTCGGCTTTCTTGGAACATTGATGGACAATTCATTAAATCACCCCCCGGCGCCGGATTATGAACAAGACAAAATGGGCTCTTTGTGTGATCTGGCCCAAGTCCGCACAAGGCTCTGAGGACTTTTGGAGGGTCGACTCCACGAAAGCCACAGGATCCACCTATCTGCGCTAACTGAAAACGTCAAAGCAAGCTGTTCACGCGCAATGCATCTACTCTCAGCAGCTACAGCTCAATTAGTTTCAGTGCAGCAGAAGTTCCTAGACGTCCTTTGACACATGCTTACGTGCACCTACGCAAATATACATTCAAGTACATCCACTGTCTGTGGTGGAAAGGGCGTCTCTTTAAACGAAAGGCTCCACTCAGCAGAAACCTCGCACGCCCAAAGCGGCAAAGTGCACCCAAACATTGCGGGCCCTGTGCTCGACGACGCCCCAAACTCGCGCTAAACAACTGCAGACTTCACCTTTGTGGGTGGCAAGCTTGTACACACGATACTCAGGAAAGGGGATGATCGTTTCATCCATGTCCCCTACCCATACCATCTGCGCACCGGCCCCTTGCGGCACATTGACCTGTCCATGCTGAAGGCGAGCTAACAAGTATTTGACCCACTGGCCATACTTACGGAAGCGACCAGAATGATAAGGCTGAAGAATCAGGAATCATGTGCCTTTGGATACACACATGCCTATCTGTATTTATAGATGTTGATAAAAGATACATTCTCAATTGATGGTTCGCTCGGAACGTGCACTCGAGCTGTTCACACGCCGTGCCAAAAACATGTTCCGGAGTTGACCGAAAACTCCTGCCTGCTTTCGTATGTGGTCGCCGCCAGCATAGAGTACCAGCACCTTAGGTGTCCTCCTTTTCGTTAAATGGCGGACCCCTTTTGGTTGGTCAAAGGGATGCCAAAAGGACACCACAAATTTGGGGGACCGATTCCGATTTATTCTGAGAAACACCTGGTGTGTCTGGTAACAAGGAATCTTGTGGTTCAGTTCGGAAAAAACTGTCAGAGTTCTCTTTCTCGAGGATGTCAATTTCCACATCCGCGGATGCTTCAACGATGCTTGACAATGTAGCACTAGGCGATTGGCACCCCTGTGACTAGTTGGGGTCTGATATCTCAAACATAAACGGACTTTTGGACCCTTGCAACTGTTTTGGCAGGTCACCCTCAGATTTGATTGGTCTTCCCGATTGAAATCTTTTTCGGGGGGGTGGTAGCCACTGTCTTGTAGCGGCAGCACCTTTCACACTCAACTACTAGTTTGTGGGTATGTGTCCGCTCCCATACCAGCCACCATAGACACAAATTCAAACGTTCCCAATTTGCACACGGACAGACCCCCGCGAGACATTTTGTTGGCTCTGCTAAGGCCCCCCCATGAGCTGACTGGACTACTCGACTACTGGACTACTGGCCTGGTTGAAATATACATGATTATAAATGTGTGTGCAAGCATGGGATTCCCGAAAAAACTCAATGCATAATCACGCATTATTATACTGACTATGTGAATAGTCAATGATTCTAAACAAACCTTCCCAGGGGTTCACACCACCATTAAAACACTGGAGGTTCATATAGACACAATGGTTTACCGCTCAGGATTGTCATTCAAATTGGGTTCTAAGGCCATCCTTTAATGGGGGCGCTCGGAACCCTTGGGCCTTGCTAAACAAGTTCAGAACACCCAGCACCCGCTATTAAGGTCCCTTGGTGAGAAATGTGAGCAAACCCCGCAAAACCAGAATTAGCTGCCGAGGATGCACCCCCTATGCTCGCGAAGAACCAGAAGAACATATGATCGTTTGTTGCCAGATGCCAGCCACATATTATATATACATACATATATGGGTGTGTCTTTTTCTTGGGTACCCCTTTTCTCGAAGGTTTTAAAGGGAAGGCAAAATGACAACTTGTTTCAGGGGGTCCCTGCAAAAGACAGACCAAATATCCCCCAGACAAAGGGGACTCGAAATGGCCCCTGGTATACCAGGGTCATGCAGGGCTCAAAAGGACTTTGCTTTGACAAAGTGACAAAGCCCACTGTAAGGCGAATGTCATGTTTCCTAGGTGTGGCTGCACAAGGGCCAAGGGATCTACGTCCAAAGATTCAATTTTCCTTCCAGTAGGTCAGTAAGTTCCCAACTAGCTTGTCACATCGACAATTGTTAGCTCATCGTTTGGTCTGCCAGATTGTGCTTGGTCGCTTGTGAAAAGGAAACTGCAGTTTGATAAACTCAACACATTTCGCGCGATGACCTTCCGAGTCTCCAGCTGTTTTCAACACCGCTCCAAAAAGAAAATTCATCCCTAGAATTGATACATGTTGTCCTTTTGGTAAAATAGATGGTTCCCTGGTAGCTGGGGCACAAAATCAATCTAAACCAGTGGAGCCCACCCATTTCTATCCAAACTCACCAAAACAAGGGACAACCATGATCCCCTACTGGTTAAGACACTTGTTAAGACCCCTGAGAAAAGAAAAAAAAAACATATTCCACGTAGTGATGGATTCCCTTTTAAGCCAACAGGGGAAAATACAAAATATTCCCGAGCAAATGGAAGCCTGTTGAGGGCCTGCTCGTGTTTCCACGGCCTCTGTCGCATGCCCAGGCGCCAGCGGCCCAGCCTCCGTCTTCAGCGCCAGCTCCACCGCCTTCACCGCGATGGCCACGTCCACCATGCCTCGGACCGAACGACCCCCGGGCGCGGTCAAACACGACTCCAACGGATGCGCGGCTAAGAAACCTGAACAACCCCAACAGGTTGAGCGCGTTTCCGGAGGGCAACGCAGCCAAGCTTGTCCCAGTGCGTGTGTGCTGAGCTCAACAAGGTGCCTGTGATCGCCTGAACGTGTCCGGCTGCACATCCCTAGCGATTCAGCGAAATAGTCCCAGAATCCAATACGTCCTTTGACAACCCCACAACAAAAGCATAACTCACCGCTGCGGAAAAAAGAAGAAGAAAGAAAGGCGCTTTGCCAGAGCAGCAAGTGAGTTGAAGGAAGAAGTCAGCAATATCTGGTTGAAAATTGTCTAAGGTGCCTATGCTTTGTTTTGTGCACCTTGGCACATGGTGGGTGTGTCTTGCTTCTGGCAATCTGTTGTGGCTTTAGCAAACAAGCTATGTCTTTGTCCAAGGGTAGTGTGTAGTGTTATGTGTGTTTACACATGTAAGCGCTGCCTACTTGGATTGGTCGACCAATGGTTTGTGAACGCCTCCACCTCCAGGGCTCTCAATTCTTCGGCATTTTCGGGAAAGCGTAGCCTTTACTTTGTTCACCTTCGTAGAAACCAAGGGAACAAGGGTGCCGCTAAACAACTGGCCGGCTTGAGACACTTCCCGGGTGATGTTCACCACTTCACAGTCATGCGACTCACGCCACAAGGAAACTCAATCAACACAGGCCCAAATTGTGATGTTCGTTAAAACCACCGGAACAAGCTGAGCTCTACATAATCTGGATTTAAACCGAAACACCCAACATCGATGGAACATGACAGAATCCAACCACCCAACCACCCACCCGACCCAACCACCACCCAGCAACCCCACCCACCCACTCAACCACTCAACCCCTGTTCCTCCAGGCCACAAAGCATATAGACATCCACCAGGATCTGGCCCAGCACCCGCTCCCTGCGAGTGGAAACCCTGCCAGGGTCAAAGCGCAGCAGCTCTTTGAAGGCGTCCTCTACGCAGGGGATGGTGATGTCCCGAAGCCTACAGAAACTCCGAAGCGAAACTCGTCGCCGAAACTTCCGTGTGTTGTGCGTGTGTTGTGCGTGTGTTGTGCGTGTGTTGTGCGTGTGTTGTGCGTGTGTTGTGCGTGGGTGGGGTGGGGTGGGGTGGGGTGGGGTGGGGTGGGGTGGGGTGGGGTGGGGTGGGGTGGGGTGGGGTGGGGTGGGGTGGGGTGGGGTGGGTGGGGTGGGGTGGGGTGGGGTGGGGTGGGGTGGGTGGGGTGGGGTGGGGTGCGGTGCGCTGCGGCGCGGTGCGGCGCGGCGCGGTGCGGTGCACGGTATGAGGCTCACACGGGCATGAAGCCATCAATTTGCCTGGTTTGGGGCCCCTGTCAACAGACATGTGCTTGGCCAGCAAGCCATGTGCAAAGACCAGTCAACTCTCTGGTGATCGAAACTGTCAAACGGGCTGACAACTAGCAGCTATTTGCAAAGGTGATCTTGCCCAAACAGTTCGGCTTAGCCCGACACTTTCGTAACTCCAGCCAAATAATGTCAATCAACGTCTTCCTAAACAACGGCCCGACCATCTCAATGAAGCAACGCCACTGCAGAAAAGCACTGATACTGACAAGCGTTGAGCAACTTTGGATTGCAGCAACGGAGAAGCGCAAATCTACAGAAATCAGTCTTTGAACCGGTCCACAAATGCTCGAATGTGTTGAGCATGGCCTGATAATTCCTGATTCAGGCGCGAAGAAAATGCCCTTCAATGGGCCCGGGAACCCACATGTCGCAAAAAAAACAGATCACAGCCGACTCCAAACCACAGAAGCACAGCAGGTTATGGGTGGGTGTTAGACCCAAGAACGGCGTCATTTGAACAGTCTATGTCTTAGTGGCCAAACAAATTGATCGACGTGCATCCCTGCAGAATCGACACCCAATTGGGACCCTTTCTTCGCCTTTGTACCCCTTGTTTGTGGGTCAAAGGCAGGAGAACAAATTGAATCGGCTGGCTTCAGGCGCAAAAAAGAGCCTCCGGCGAGGCATGTTCCCGCTCTCAAGCGCCTGGTCGCATGCCGAGGGGCTGGTGCCGATGCTTCTTGCTCTTGGGCTTGCTCTCGCTTGGCATCCAATCACGGCGTATCAGCTCAGCTGGGTCGCTTGTATCCACATCCTCGACAGGTCCAAGCAGCAAACCAAACGAAAGCCAAACACCAATGCAAAAATCCCAAGCCTTACACTAGACACACACACACACACACACACGTGAATCAATTCCGCTTGGAACAACTTGTGCAGTAAGTCCATGAGATCTCCCGCAGCTCTTGAGACTAATTCGGACGGATATCGATCGGGCTGCGCTCAAGGTACCAAGTCATAGGATTGTCTCCTCTCTGCTCCGGACGTACCAGCACAGCGGGGAGTTCGGCGAAGGGCTCAGAGGGAACAAGGGGCCAAAGATAAATGACATGTTACGTACGAGCTTACCAAACTGGCAATAGGGCGAATCAATGCAAATCAAGGTCAGCACATGTCACAAAGTCTCAAATATTCCCCCCTACCGCCTGAAAGTGCAAATGAAATTCCACAGCGCACCCCCCTCCCTCCATTCCTCATAGATGTTGGGATGGCACTCGCGCAGCCAAGCCTGACAAGTCAGCGTATCACAGCCAGACAGCCAAACATAAGAAATGCTCCTTACCTCTTTACCTGTTACCCCTCCCCTTACCCCTTTCCAGGGGCACGGTTTCAGACTGTTGTGGGGGGGGGGGACGTACACACGGTTGCGTAAAATTTTGCATCCTTGGCACCTCCTGGGCAACATCGCCAGCATCACCTGCATCATCCGCATCAGCGCCTGCCAAGTATGCTGATGATGCAAGTGATGCTGGGGATGTTGCCCATGCTGGTGAAGCAACATCTGGAAAAGGAAAATGCATGGAAATGAATGACATGAAGTAACAATAAAAAAAGGAACAAAAACAGACAAAAAGGGACATGAGCCGAAGTGAAGGAAAGGGGGGGGAAAGGGAAAGATCTTGGGGGACAAAGGCCTCAGGAGGGAAAGGGGAGAAAGGACCTCAACCGGGAAAGGGGGAAAGACAATCTCAGGGGCGGGAAGGCCTTTGGGGGGGGAAAGGGGGGAAAGGATCTCAACAGGGAAAGGTGGCAAAAGATCTTAGGGAGGAAACGGGAGAAGATCTCAGGAAATGGAGAAGGGGGGAAAGGGGGGAAGGATCTCAACCGGAAAAAAGGGGAAGGATCTTAGGGAGGAAAGGGGAGATGATCTCAGGGGGGGAAAGGCCTTAGGGGGAAAGGGGGGAAAGGATCTCAACAGGGAAAGGTGGGAGAAGATCTTGGCAAGGAAAAGGGAGAAGATCTCAGGGGGGAAAAGGCCTTAAGATCTGGGGGGGAAGGCCTTAGGGGGGAAAGGGGGAAAGGATCTGAACAGGGAAAGGGGGCAAAATATTTTTGGGAGGAAAAGGGAGAAGATCTGAAAAGGCCTTAGGGGGGAAAGGGGGGGAACAAATCTCAACAGGGAAAGGGAGAAAAGATCCTAGGGAGGAAAAGGGAGAAGATCTCGGGGGGAAAGGGGGAAAGGATCTCAACCGGGGGAAAAGATCTTGGGGAGGAAAAGGGAGAAGATCTCAGGGGGAGAAAGGCCTTAGGGGGAAAGGGGGGAAAGGATCTCAACAGGGAAAGGTGGGAGAAGATCTTGGCAAGGAAAAGGGAGAAGATCTCAGGGGGGAAAAGGCCTTAAGATCTGGGGGGGAAGGCCTTAGGGGGGAAAGGGGGAAAGGATCTGAACAGGGAAAGGGGGCAAAATATTTTTGGGAGGAAAAGGGAGAAGATCTGAAAAGGCCTTAGGGGGGAAAGGGGGGGAACAAATCTCAACAGGGAAAGGGAGAAAAGATCCTAGGGAGGAAAAGGGAGAAGATCTCGGGGGGAAAGGGGGAAAGGATCTCAACCGGGGGAAAAGATCTTGGGGAGGAAAAGGGAGAAGATCTCAGGGGGAGAAAGGCCTTAGGGGGGAAAGGGGGGAAAGGATCTCAACAGGGAAAGGGGGGAAAACATCTTCGGGAGGAAAAGGAAGAAGGTCTTGGGGGAAAAGGCCTTAGGGGGGAAAGGGGGGGAAAGGATCTCAACAGGGAAAGGGGGGAAAAGATCTTAGGAAGGAAAAGGGAGAAGATCTCGGGGGGGAAAAAAGGCCTAGGGGGGAAAGGGGGGAAAGGATCTCAACAGGGAAAGGTTGCAACAGATCTTAGGGAGGAAAAGGGAGAAAATCTCAGGGGGAGAAAGGCCTTAGGGGGGAAAGGGGGGAAAGGATCTCAACAGGGAAAGGGCGGGAGAGATCTTAGGGAGGAAAGGGGGAAGGTCTGGGGGGAAAGGCCTTAGGGGGGAAAGGGGAGAAATGATCTCAACAGGGAAAGGGGTGAAAGAGATCTTAGGGAGGAAAGGGAGAAGATCTGGGGGGAAAACAAGGCCAACAGAGAAAGGGGGGAAACGATCTTAGGGAGGAAAAGGGAGAAGCTCTCAGGGGGGGCAAGGCCTTAGGAGGAACGGGTGGGAAGGATCTCAACAGGGAAAGGGGGGAAAAGATCTTAGGGAGGAAAAGGGAGAAGATCTGGAAAGGCCTTAGGGGGAAGGGGGGAAAGGATCTCAACAGGGAAAGGAGGCAAAGGATCTCAGGGAGGAAAAGGGGGAAGATCTCAGCGGGGGGAAAGGCCTTAGGGGGGAAAGGGGGGAAAGGATCTGAACAGGGAAAGGGGGGGAAAGATCTAGGGAGGAAAGGGAGAAGATCTGAAAAGGCCTTGAAAGCATCTCAACAGGGAAAGGGGGGAAAAGATCTTAGGAAGGAAAAGGGAGAAGATCTCGGAGGGGAAAAACAGGCCTAGGGTAGGGGGGAAAGGGGGGAAAGGATCTCAACAGGGAAAGGTTGCAAAAGATCTTAGGGAGGAACAGGGAGAAGATCTCAGGGGGGAAAAGGCCTTAGGGGGGAAAGGGGGAAAGGTTCTCAACAGGGAAAGGGGGGAAAACATCATAGGGAGGAAAAGGGAGAAGATCTCAGGGGGGGAAAAGGCCTTAGGGGGGATCTCAACAGGGAAAGGGGGGCAAAGACCTTAGAGGGGAAGGGGGGCAAGGGGACAATTCCAAAGGGACGCACATAAGAAAGCAGGCCTGTAATGTCGGCGGCCTGAGCCGGAGGCGTTAAAATTATGTTGCCATTGATAAGCCGACAAAAGAACCGGCATTTGGGTGAACTTGCCACGCCACATTTCATTTTCAGCCGATCTGGTGAGATTGCCCCTTGCACCAAGCACCCCGCCTCAAAATAGTCACCGTCCTGGTCCGCCATTTTTGGATCCTTGGCAACGGAAGCACAGACCTCCAACCCTTGCTCAAAGGCACCCCTCAAATCTTGCACAGATGACCAAGCCTTGACTTGCGTGCCTAAGGCTTTTATGGGCCGCCGTTCGGCGACTGAAAAAGCTGCCTCAGAGCGGCCCATCACAGCATGTCCATCGAGTTAGAAGCAAGTATGATGGACGCAGGCGGGCTATGGTTTCTCTAAAGGGAGTCCTTGGTGAGCTCCAGGTCATCGTGTGACTTGTTGATATTGCGCGCGTTTGGGTCCGAGTCTCTGCCAGCAAGTATTGCACCTGCTGCCTGTAGGCATCCCGTGCAGCCGCAACCAGCCGCTCACCCCCCGCAGCAGCCACTCTCCTGAGCAAGGCGCCAGCCAGCCACCTGTAACATCGCCATGATTAATCCAAACAAAACACTGCTAGCAGCACGTTGCTTCAGATACGTGACATGAGCTGCCCATGACATCGAGACAATATCGACAACCCAAAACTTTGAGTGTCCGACAAATTTGGCCAGTGATATGCCAAGCAAAGCTCACCTCGCTTAAGAAGGCCATTTGTCAATTGGGACTCTGAAATGAGGTCAATCGGTATCGGTTCCTTTTCAAGCCCGCAACTTGTTACGGAGCCTGCCGCCTGCCATTTAACACCCTCGATTGGGAACACAATGTCCTTCAATCAGACGTGTGTTGTGGAGCTGCGGCGCAGCAGGGTTGTTTCATGGTAGAAATTCGACATTGGTCATAACCCAGGATTCAAGCATTGCAGCCATCATAAGCGCAAATGTCATGTATGAGACATGCTCCAATCCCTGGAATTCTGTCCTTCTGAATTGGACACCATGGACCCTGGCCAAAGGGCGGTCACGGGCGGTCAAACTCGCAACCCTTTTTTGGGACCCCCTTCACACCTGGCTGTTCAACCAGCGTCAGGAGTATATAACCATTATGAGGGGACGACATACCCTATTAACATGGTCGCAACCTACTTACATCCAAGAAAGGCGGTGAATCTTCTCCTTCGGGCCATGCTCAGGCGTCGGAATTCTTGAATCCCCGGGGTCCACCACCATCAGGCGAAATGACCATGTTATTTGGGTCGCTCGCTTCTGACTTGGGTCGCTCGCTTTCCCTGTGTTGCTTGGTTTTTCAAATGAAAACAAAACACAACCCGCCATTTGAGGTGACCCCCATCTCACTTCCTGAGTGCATTGGCCCAAAACATCTAAACCGCTTGTTTGCCACTAAAATGGTCCAACCCCAAAAAGACTAAAGTCCGAAGCGGAACTCAGGACGTGAGCTATTTCAAGGCATACAGTGGATGGACAAAATCCTGCACCACCTAAGAAATCCTGGAATGGTCATTCCCCTGTAAATACCAGCAAACAATGGTTTCCCATGGTTTCAAAGTGGTGCGAACGGATTTCGTCCATCCACAGTACCGTATAAATATCCCCGGCCCGCGTCGGGGAAGCAAACGCCGGCACTTTTCTTCGCCGAGGCGCGCGCACAAGGCAGAGAGCCACGTCCGGGGCCCCGGCCTTAGAGAGGCCCGAGTTTGGGTGTCAGGTTTGTGGGGGAAGCCCTTGTTTTGGTTTTAACCGGGAAACCCAAGCAACCACCAAGTCTTGGGATCTGGGAGCCCCTGAGACAAAGCCGACAAATGTTGAGTTAGAGGCGGCCAATCTTGACATCGATGCAAGGTTGAAGGCAAGTGACGCGGATGGACGAAGTCCAAGTTGCACCAGTTGGGGTTGGCGATGTGTCAGTCAATAGTTCTAGGGTTGCAACAAACAATACGATCGTTCAGTGCAACAAACAATACGATCGTTCAGTGTGTTAAGACATCTTATTAAACAACGCTTGGCCGGCAAGTCAATTTCTCAGAGTCTCGACGGCCCCATAAACCCGCTCTGTTTTGAGATGACAGGTGCCATTGGGTGCGACTGGAGAAAGCCGCGCCCAAATCGCGAAAGTAGCCCCAACATGGCACTTGCAGCCCAGATTGACTGATCAGACTGGTTTCAGACTAGTTTCAGACCTCTTATTTGACTACTAAGTGAGCAGAACGAGACAAAGCTATGACCCCCTGCAAACTTACTTTCTAGAGTCTCGGCAGATTTCTTAACCCCACCTTAGAAATTTGTGAGACTCTCGACAGCAAGAAGGAATTTCTTGTCACACAACATGACCGTAATGGTTGAAACCACCATGGTTGAAACTGTGGATGGACAAAATCCAACCGCGCCACGAATTGAAACCATACCAAAGTGCTAGGCAACGTAATCCGCCGACATTGCTCGGCGTGTCGGACACCTAAGAGAGGATAGAGGATAACCCCCCCCCCTAACCCCCCCCCCACCCGACGTCTGATACGTGGGGGGGGGGCCCCTCGGCCCCCCCCCCCAAAGGACCGCGCGGCAATTTGATGACGTTCCACTAAACGTAGTCTTCGGGGACCCGGTGTCGCAAAACAGGGGTCCCAGGCTCGATTCCCCCTGCCGGCTTTTTTGCTGGCTTGGGCTTCCTGCATCCTTTTGCCGAAAATCTGGAAAAACTCTGTGTTTTTGGACATCCTCTTTGCGAAAACGCTGGAAAAACAGTGTTTTTTGCGGGAAATACTGGGGAGCAAAGGGGAAGTGCAAGGATACATACATACATACATACAGACATACAGACAGACATACAGACATACATACATACATTACATTACACAACATCACCATTACATTACATTACATCACATTACATACATACATACATACATTACATTACATTACATTACATTACATTACATTACATTACATTACATTACATTACATTACATACATACATACATACATACATACATACATTACATACATACATACATACATACATACATACATACATACATACATACATACATACATACATACATACATACATACATACATACACATACATTACATACATACATACATACATACATACATTACATTACATTACATTACATTACATTACATTACATTACATTACATTACATACATACATACATACATACATTACATACATTACATACATACATACATACATACATACATTACATACATACATACATACATACATACATACATACATACATACATACATACATACATACATACATACATACATACATACATACATACATACATACATACATACATACATACATACATACATACATACATACATACATACATACATACATACATACATACATACATACATACATACATACATACATACATACATACATACATACATACATACATACATACATACATACATACATACATACATACATACATACATACATACATACATACATACATACATACATACATACATACATACATACATACATACATACATACATACATACATACATACATACATACATACATACATACATACATACATACATACATACATACATACATACATACATACATACATACATACATACATACATACATACATACATACATACATACATACATACATACATACATACATACATACATACATACATACATACATACATACATACATACATACATACATACATACATACATACATACATACATACATACATACATACATACATACATACATACATACATACATACATACATACATACATACATACATACATACATACATACATACATACATACATACATACATACATACATACATTACATACATTACATTACATTACATTACATTACATTACATTACATTACATTATTACATTACATTACATTACATTACATTACATTACATTACATTACATTACATTACATTACATTACATTACATTACATTACATTACATTACATTACATTACATTACATTACATTACATTACATTACATTACATTACATTACATTACATTACATTACATTACATTACATTACATTACATTACATTACATTACATTACATTACATTACATTACATTACATTACATTACATTACATTACATTACATTACATTACATACATACATACATACATACATACATACATACATACATACATACATACATACGAGAGAGGGAGATTGGGGAGAGAGTGGCTTGGGGGGATGGGGAGGATGGGGAGCGGAGGGAGGGAGAGAGGACGACAGAACACACCAGGGAGACAAGGGAGAGAGGAAGAAGGAGAAAAGGGAGAGGACAATGTCGGCGGACTGAGCCGGAGGCTCTAAAGTTTAAAAGCAGACAGGGACGAAGTGAAACATTGACCAGGGCCCTTCTTCCGGCCCCTTTTCAGGCCTTAAGACTTGATCAGGCCCGTTTGGGGCCAGCCTGTCCATTGGAGAATCGATGGTGTTTCAGATTCCATTGCTGATGTGTTAGGATGCCTTGCTTAGACTGTACTGTTTGTTGGCATTTACAGAAACATCGAAGCATTCCAGGCCTTCTTGGATAGTGCGAAACGGATCCACAGTAGGGTGGGCAATCCGAATTTTGGCGAGTTACAAGGAGAGAAAATGTGGGTGTCTTTTTGTTCGAGGTTACCCTTTTGGGAGTTGGCCAAAAGGAATCTAAGCACTTTCGGGTTCCCGCAATTTTGAGACAAACCCGTGCAGTGGCTGCATGAAGCTTCAACATTCACCGTCCTGAATAGTAGAATATGCCAAGGAAGAAAGTGAACCGATTGACGGGCGTGCAGGCGGGCGTGTGTGCGTATGTGAGAACTGGTTGCCACTGTAAAAGTATCCCAGTGGATCATTGTTCTGTCGTAGGTGACCAAGGGAACCACCCTGGCAAAGCCACAAGCTGAATAAATTGCTTGCCCACTATGATAACTGGGATCCACTGGGCAAGCCAACCTCGAGTCCCAAGTTTCACGCTACAAAGCCATCCGATGCGATCCGCTAAAAAGCCACGGCGCCCCGGGTCACCTAGGAAGCAATCCTCCGGAAGGACCTGCCGCCCATTCCGCTGACGCAATGGGAAGCCCGGACCCCAGATCAACATGGAACCAACAAAAATGGCGACCCCACCTTCTGGGTTCCTTCCGTTCATTTGTAGAGTAAATCTGGGCGCATCCGGCATGGTCTGGGGAGATCCTCTTGCGTCCCATGGGCTGGGTTGGGAAACAACCGGTCAGCATGCGTAAAATTGGAAAACCTTTTCAGCCGTTCGGAAAAGAGCCTTTGCTGGGCGGCTCATCGTTTTTTGGAGCTGGTACCCCTTTTGGGATGGTGTCAAAAGGAAAGCCGCCCTTTTTGCGGGATGGTTTTCCTAAAAAAACGACATACCTTCAGTATCCTTTGAGGGATTTGGAAATGCGGCGAATTGAGTGAGACCAAGGCGGCTCCTACATGCCATAGCTCATCCGGGCAATATATAGTGGTTATCCAACTGGTCTGTTCTATGAAACTGTGGTCTACATGGGGTCCCTAGTCTGAACCATGCTCATCATGCTCTATGAAACTTGGTCAAAGCGGTCACTGTTGACACTTAAATGATATGCGTCTGATGCGCAGAGGGCCAGCAATGGTCTTCATGGTGACAGACTATCCAAGGAAGGGCGGCCCATTGAGTTAGGTTGCCTAATGCCAAGGTCCGCAAGACATCAGCCCGAAGGTCTTCGCAACTGCGCGGCATTGGCCTCCTTGGAAGCCATGAATGAAGAGCTGCATGCGAGCTGGAAACCGGTGTGACCCCGCGGCTTGCATGCCCAAAAAAGCCTTCAGCGAACAAGCGCCTTGTCAAAAAAAACAGCACTGAGACGCTCCAAGATAGCACGCCAATGCTCCCACCTGACGTTCATTCACATCCACAACATAGGATGTAGCATTGAAGGCCCTGAGCATCTTGGACATTGGGCTGTGTGGCGTAGCTCATGTCATTGTCCAACCTCCCCCTTGGCGCTCAGAGCTACCTGTCTGTCAAACAAAATTCAGAAGCCACGTGGGTTGGGTGTAGTTTTAGTGCAGTTCTTAGACCATGCTCTGACTCATAGCGCCATGCGAACATTTGAGCATTATTCAAACTTGTTGCGCGGGCGCAAGACAGAAACGCATCCCTGCCGTGAGGGCCCGCGCGGCTCGCGAGTAGTGGCGCTTGCGCAGATTGCGGAAGTTCGTGCAGATAGCTTCCGCGCGTGGAACCGCGCAAGCCCGAACACACCCCAACCACAAAAGCAGAGATGTTCAACGTTCGTCTTTGCCTAGTCGCAAAACGTCCGCGGACGTTTTGCGACTAGGCAACTGACACAACCGCCGTTCGTGGCCTTCCGCGACCTAGGAATTAGCAGTAGAGCCGGCAGAGCCGGAGGGCGGAAGCTTTAAAGGCGAGAAAAGTGCCTATACGAAGAGCTTGACAGTGTTTTTTGGTTGCGCTCTTTCTTTGTTCTTTCTTTCTTTCTTTCTTTCCTTCCTTTCTTTCTCCTCTTCCCGAAGAGTGTATCTTTGGCCTCCACACGCTGCGCACAAAAGACAATCCCAAACTAACAGAAGGAGTCCAAACCGGGTGTCTTTAAAACAGGGACCGCCCTACCGTAAGAGTTTATCTTTGGCCTCAACACACTGTATGCAAAAGATCGGTGCCCTTTCTTTCCCCCATGCGAGTGGCTCCGGCTACAACCCCAAACTGACAGGGAGGAACTAAAACAGGGGCAGTCAAGACAAGGCGCCCCTTTTTTTGCTATGTCGCTCAAGACCTGCTGGCACTGGCTGACACGCTTACAGCTTCAGGTTTGAAGTCCAGTATCAACGAACACTCACAGTGGCAGTTAAGGCACGCCCGGTGAAGAATTTGCGAACCGGGCATGAGCATCAAGGACACGAGTTGCCATAGGCCACGACGGCGCAGCACTTTGTCAAGACTTATCTCTAGCTTTGCTCTCTTTCTGTCTTTCTTTATCTCTTTCCTTTCTTTCTTTCTTTCTTTCTTTCTTTCTGTCTTGCTTGCTTTCTTTCTTTCTCTCTTTTCGTTCTTTCTTTCTTTCTGTATTTATTTGTTTATTTATGTCTCTCTTTTTCTCTTTCTTGCTTTCTTTCTTTCTTTCTTGCTTTCTATCTATCTATCTGCACTTCCTCTTTCTCTTTGTCTCTCTCTCTCTTTCTCTCTCTTTCTTTCTTTCGTGCTTTCTTTCGTGCTTTCTTTCTTTTTCTTCCTTTCTCTGTATTTCTTTCTTTCTTACTTTCTTTCTTTCTATCTATCTATCTATCTGCACCTGACCTTGCGAAAGTGCTGCGCCTGCCACGAAATCTGCACCTTAGGCTGCCAAAGTGCTACGCCTGCCACGCAAAATGGACCTCCGAAAACGTCTGCGCGAGCATTACAGTGGGCAACATTCCGAGCCCGTGGCGAGACCGTGGCGAGACCGCACGCTGAACAGGGGTACCCTTCGCGTGTTTCGCATGTCTGACTCTACTTTTCGTATTACGGAAGTTTTCTAACTAAGCTTCCTTTGATCAAAACCATAGTTCCTCACGAATACTACTTTCAATTGCAGGGAGGCTATAGCGCGGTTCATGTCCACTGCACAGTACATTCACAGGGGTTCGTGGTATGCTTCGAGGGGTGCTATAGGATTGTAATTGCACACAGCCACGCGTCTGGTGACGAAACTGCCTGGTGCACCGTGCAACGCATGCTTATCATTCCAAATGCGCACAATGTCGAGCTGGTATGCCTAAATTGAGTGCCCTCGCAAGCCTTTTGCCGTCGCATCGTCCACTCTCCACGGTCCGCCGGAACTGTTCCTTGACACACCTGCAAAGCACACCTCTTGCATCCTCTTGTTCTGAAGCAGAGTGGTATCTGTTAAACTAATTGCTCAGAAAGACATGGCAAACATTCTTGGGAACTCAACTGGCTCGAGAACTGTGGGGGGAAGCCACATTGTCCCTTTACTGCAACTTAGACAATTGTGACCCTGACTGATCAAGGCTGACATTGTCCATAGTGGACCTGGTGGGACCTGAAATTGTCCACAGTGACTCTGTTTGACTCCAATCGCCAGCATGTGTGATCTTGTGTGTGTGTGTGTGTCTCTGCGCATATGTGTGTGTGTGCGCGGGTGTGTGCACATATCTGCAGTCAAGCTTCCATTTACCGAGCAATCCAACAGAAAAGACACACATCTACCACTCATGATAATGTCAAGTGAACACAAATGCAAAACATGTACAAACACCAACCTTTTGCTCAACTTCGGCTGCTTCTGTCCCTTTCGTGGCGCATGGCGTGTCATAAGACGTATGCTACGCAGGTGCCAACTCGAACCCCGGCCACTTGCACAAACCCCGTGCCGGTAAATTCGGCCATCCGCGGTAATTTTACGATGGCCACTTTCGACAGTGGCCCAGTGTGTGTCTAGGAATCTTGGTATCGCTGGGCTTTTGAAGTTATGCAGCGATGCAAACACTGCTCCCCTATTCAAAATCATAGCGGGCAATGTGCGTGTCTTTCTTAGGGGGACCCTCAAAATGGTGGTTGTCCTTGCGGTTTCCCCTTGAACCACAAAAAGGGGGTAGCCTTACAAAAAGGCACACCCACACACTACTCCTCGGGAATAAGGCCATGAATCGCAACCAAACTTGCTGAAGACATCTCGCTGCCTGAACATCAAACGCACGATCTGGACACTGGAGGGGCGTGCCCCCAAGAATTCGGCTCCCGGAACTGGCTTGCTTGTGACGATCTGTCGAAGTCCCTGACCATCGATGCTTGCATCGCTAAAACCCATGCTCGCGGCCAAAGAGCTTCTTGCTCCTTCGGTAAACCTAGACAACAGCCAGACTTGGGCATGTTATTCTTAAACCAGCAATAGGAACATCTGACTCCACAGAGTCACAGGTACACGCACACACACACACACTGGACATGCCGCGCGATCAACGAGATGGGCCGCAAATGGCTGCCCCGCCAAACCCTTTACCATGCCGAAGCACACTCGGAGCAGGATAGTATCGTGAAGGAGCTGTATCCAGTCAAACGGCCGGCAAGTGTAAGGGCCAAACAGATTTATCGAGTGCAAAATGTGCGGTTTGCTGAACGCTGACTGCAAAGCCTTTGTGGCCAGTGTCACAGCCTAATTTCGAGGGAATATCAGATTGAATTTTCATTTCACGTGGGACGGAATGATGTTTTGACCTCACATCATCCTCTGTCAGGCTCATTTGCTTAACGAAGTCCACAGTAGGTCGTCTTTCACGGGACACCAGCTCCCATCATTTTCTGCGAGGTCTGCCGATGGCAAAGTGGAGCCGTCCCCAAGGCAAGCTGGAAAGAAGCACAAGCAAAAAGGCGTTTGCAATTCGCCGAAGAAGGTGTGAAGAATCAATCTCAGGCACACTCCTCTGTTTCTTGCTTTGCGAGGAGCTGTCATGGAATCTAACTTGCACTTGTCTTCCAGTCACGTCCCAGGTAATTGTTTAGTTGAAGTACCGGAAAGAGTCTCTGGCGCCATCTCTGATCGTTTGAGATTGTCCCAGTGCACATTCTTTGATGGCTTGCCCGAAAAAAAAAGAAGCAAATGTCCATGGCGCCAACCAGAAGTTGCAACCCAAACTTGAAGTTCCCCGGCCAGAAATCAACTCCGATTGAGCTGGTCAGTCCCCAGGGCGTTTGACACCTGCCCCTGTGGGCATGTACAAACGGACCCAGCGCCGATCCAGCCGTGCCATTTGCCATGGACATCACTCGCGCTTATTTTGTGCTTTTTTGAATTGAGCTGAAAGACATGGCCATGAACCAAGGACTGGATCTCAGGATCGCAGTCCCCAATCCGACCTCCGCGAAACGAGAACATATTGTATCCTTGCAGCCCGGAGACGGACTCAGGTAACCGACACATTTTCCGCCTACAGGGATCCTCATGATTGAGTCATGGAAACTGGCCGATTGCCCGAGGCACAGCGACGAAAGAAGCCCTGTGAGTCGCTGTCCTCACCTGCTTGAATGGCGACTTC